AGATTAAATCCTAACCGCTGGGCGGGCTTCCGGTCTTCCTATGCCCCAAACTATCCAGTTCGGCAGCCCTTGGATGTCTGCTTCAGCAACCCGTAAACCATCGACTTCAGCAGCTCTTTGCATCAGGCTTGGCGGAGATGGTGACTTGGCAGCAGCATTCCACTCTCACTACAGTGCTGCTGCTACCTCAACCCCTACAACTGCTATTGCAAAGAGAAATATTAAGCGCAGCAGTACAGGTAAGGTTGCAAAAGCTGCCGCTAGCCAGGAACCTGAGATCAGTTTCTCAAACCCCTGAATCCTAAATCCCGGTTGGGGTAAGGGGAAAGTGCATGCTCCCCTTATGGCTGTAATCTCATGTTCCGACTTCCACATGAACGGGGAAAAAGATGCTTTGAAAGACCATCATGAAGTTCATCAATTCACAGGCCAACCCTAAAAGCGAGAAGAACCCTGGCTAAGCCTTCGGGAAACGGGAGGTTTGTACCAAACATCTTGCATAGGCATAGCGCAGTCTTGTTATGTACTGCCAGGCCTGAGCCTTTTTCGAAGGCAAATCCTGAGTTCCTAAACCCCAAGCGCTAGACTTGCAGTCTAGTATATTGGGGTTATATTGGGATAATGGAAAATAAAATGGAAACTACTATAATATAATAGGGTATATATAGGGGTGATATTGGGTTAAAACTTAAAACCCATCCCTGCACGAGGTGAATTTTCTGCCTTCAGCTTCCGAGGCGGCACAACATGTGTTTGAGTTGAGTAGACTTCTGCCTGTTGAAGCTTGGGGGGCATGACCCCCTTTGGAACCTTGGCATTCGCGAGTCTAGAAGCTGGGGTTTTGGGTTTGGGGGTTCAAGGTCTAGGGTGGTAGGGGAGTTTTCCACATGTGGTTATGGGTTCAGGTGCTTGGGTCCAGTGTAGACATGAGGGGGCTCGTGGTTAATGTCAGGAGGGAGTATTTTTCTAAAGAAATAGAACGGGCTGCCTTCAAGATCCTTTTGCACTCCTTATGTAGTTTTTTCGTTAATATATCTAATCGATTTTGAATGTGTATTCTATTAATCAACTGAATGAATAACTGATAATTCCAGAGCCACCCTTTGAAAGCCCTCTTGCCCTTTTCAAAAAGTGCTCTTCCGGATTTTTTGCCCCTGAAACGCATATTCTCAAATATTTGGTGGGGATTTAATATTAATTCAGAGGAAGGGATTACTCATACGGAGCTACAGCATGCTTGTGAATAGGACCCCATGCAAGGTTTACGACAAGATAGGCCTGTGTTTTCCAGGCTTCTTGGGGAAGGTTCAACGGGTGCCGCTTCGCGCGCGCGTATGGTTCAGGTTTTGCTGTGGGGCCGTGGGCGGGCTGTCCCTGACTCAAGATTTGCAACACCCTCGACTTAAGGCATACATGCTAAGCTAAGCGTCCGATGGCCACACTTGATGGTTCAGAGATTTTTGAAATTCTGGGCGGAGTCCTGAGCTAAGCCATACCCGCGTCACCGCTCCCCTCCCCGCGTACGCTCAACTCTGTATAAAGCCGAACGCAGGCTCTTTTCAGCTTGTCCCTTCAGACTACGGAGAGCGCGCGGCTTTCAAACAACCAGCGGGGTTGGCTTCCCAATAAGGCACCAGTAATCTGTCGCACGACCGTGCTTGAATAGACTCTCCACTGGGCTCAGGGTTGACAGTTTAGAGCAACTCATCTACAGGCTCGCAGGAAACCATTTCCGCCCTTTCTTCTGCAACCCCAAAATCCTTGATTTTGCAATCCCGAAAAGCAATCATGGTTCAGGGCCAAGGTCAGGGATCTTCGCTTTGAGTCACAAGGCCGTCTTTTTTGACCTATGTAGCCTTGTTGGCAGGATGCTGATGCAGTGTGGCCCTTAGATAGGTGCTGCTTACTCCTGACAACTATCACCCCAAAGTTAAACCCTAAGAATCATATTTTTACTAGGCCCTAGCTGCCAAAACCTAGCCCTAACTCTGAAACACCAAATCCCAAAACCTCAGCCCCAACCTAGAAGCAGAAGTCATTCTGCCGCTGTGTGGAGGCCTCCCGGAGTGCTTCTGCCTTTCTGGGCTTCAAGCGCCTGACGGACGCGACAGTTCGGGGAGTAGGCTTTTCGCGTGTCGGGGGTGAGGGTTTAGAGGGACCTTGATGGGAGTATCTTTTGGCTTTTTACCATCCCCACATGGTACCCTCAAAAGGGCTGTAGAAGAAGTGACGTCCTTTTCACTGCAGGGCTATATGGGGTTCTATGTCAGTTTGGAGGTTTAAGCTTGGGGCGTTTAGGGATGACACAGTGGGCTTAGGGTGCGGAGATGACGTGCTAATTTGTTTTGGGTTTCGCGTCTGGCGCGCAAGGCATACGTTTTGAAATCTAGGCTCTTCGCAACACAATCCATGGGTTTTCATTAATAGGTAGCCTTAAGTTCAATTTTCTTCGTGTATGTTGCAGAAATTCCAACGAGGGTTTAGGGTTTGCATTCAGCAGGCAAAGCGGGGCTCATAGGGGGCTTCGTGCCAGCTTTCCTGGGCTCCCTTGTTGCATTGATGTGGCCGTCACCCGGCCCCCAGCGCCCGGAGAGTTTCGGAGCAGCTACACGGTGAGGCATGGCCACTGCCTCTAACTATGCGGAGATAAAGGCTGCCACCTAGACGCCGCGCAGATCTGCAGGTCCCAGGGCGTGCGACCGAGACGGCAGATGCTTTTGACCAAAGTGCTGGTCCAAATCTCCAGAGCGACCGCTGCGCGTTAAGGAGATGATGCCCTTTGCCCTTCATGCTGAGCTCACGCAGGAGTTGAGTGTGACGATCCACTCCTGCCAGGCTCGTCAGATGCTCCGCAGGCAAGCCGAGCTGGCTGCCGAGGCCACCGTAGCATGCGTGACCTAGCTGTCCAGGGTAGCGATTGGCACCCTGCCGCCATGAGCCGCCATGGGTTTGAGCGCGCTCTCTTGGCACAGCTTTCGTAGCTTGAGAGGCCGATTTTGTGCGATTCCTTTTTGCCACGGCGTAGCGTCCGAAGGGCTGTCGGCTGAGGCCCATTTTGAGTTAAATGCTTGTATGTTTTCAGATAACTCCCTTCTGAGGAGGGTGCGGCTTTCTAAGGAAATTATTCGTGGAGCTGTCACACCAAACCCGAAGGTTTTAAGTCTAAGTGGGGTCCTGTGCTCAGTCTTGGCGGCAAAGCGCTTTGCTACCGTCAGCTTCTTCCTGAAAGATACTTCCCGAAGACCCAAACCACATGTTCTGAAACCTAAATCTTGAGCCTTGAGCCAAAAGCCACCTATGCTAAACCTCCAACCTCTGCTTGAGCGCGCCAAGCCAGGACCCTTTTGTAGTCCTGTCTGCGGACGCCCGAGAGGGAGTGAATGGGGCTATGCAGAGGCTGGGCAAAACACACGATACGTATACACATACCTATGGGGTTTTTACAAAAGCACATTGACTTTTATACTAGTCTTTTTCCTGGGCAATGGCTGTGGCACGGACGACACTAGTCTTTTGAGCAGCCCCTTTGATTTCCTTATGCTACCCTTCTATCCCTAGGGTTGCAAAGGGCGCCCTACTGTGGAAACTCTCATGCCCACGCATAATCTAGCAGCAATGCAACAGCTGTTAGCAGAACAGTCAAGACAGAAGCAAGCAGGTGAGTTTTGATATCCTTAGCAGGGGCTTCTAGAGTCCACTTGTAATCCCTGACCCCTTAAACCTTAACCCACTCCTACTTTGAGAAACCTGCAGGCTCCACAACATCCTGGACAAGCCCAATGCCACAAGGCAGGTGGCTGCTGGCAGTGCTATTGTAGATGGAGACTTGTATAGGACTCTCGATATACCGTAGAGCGCCTGGGTGTAGGGTAGAAGAGGTGATTTTGCACTTTCCGCCCAACGTAGATGTGCAAATATCTTTCGAGCATTCTTGCTTGAAAGACGGATCTAGGAGCTTTTTGGGATGGTTTAGGGTTCAGCTTTTCGACGTACAGGTGTTTAATGCTTTTTGGACTTAGGGTGTGCCATGGTGGGCCCCAAAACCTAAACTTTATTTCTTACTGAAACCTACGCACCAAACTCTTTAGGGCTTGAGGTTTTAGGGTGAAAGGTTGTTGCCCAGAGGTCGAGACAGCGGCGCCTTCGCGACGCTTGAGCTCGCGCATTGTTCGCTCAACGGACAAAAGAGTCCGTGCACCAGCATACGGGCTTTCTCAAAATCTTGGTTGCCTGCAAAGAGGTTTCGCATGGATTGCATTGGGGAATATGCAGATGATAATGATGCAGAGCCTTTGGTTTCTCAAACTGCTGAACGTCTTCTAGCCTTGTTGAGTGATATCATATGAAGGAACTTGTCCTTGAGACATGCACATGTGTTTGTTTGGTGGTGGACATCCTCTTTGCAAGCTGCCAGTTGTAACCTAGCTGGGAAACGTTCGACTTTAAATCATATTGTAACCAATAGTTTCTCATATAGTTACCATTATGGACTGCCCAAGCGTTTTGCAACGTACGGGCTTGCAACCCTCAGACTCCCTCTACAATCCCTAAACCTCAAGCCCCAAAGCAGAGTTCAGAATCTCCAAGCATTTTCCTGTTGCCCTGTCTACGTCCTTCACGCTTGGCTTCAGGGTTGCAGGTGTATGTCTTTACGTAGGGTGATGTAGTTTGGGCTTTGGCGTTTAAGTTGTAGGATTGGGTATTGAGTGTCTCTCTTCGGCTTCAATACCTGCAGTTTGAGGTCGCTGCAGAATCCTGTGCAAAAGGAGGATCGAGGAGTAACAGGGGTCCAATGACGCATTGCTCCTGGTGATGGAGGGAGTCCAGCAACTCAGGATCCCCCAAGGTATTGTCATTTCTACGATAAAAAAGTATACAAGGTTCCTACCATCCGCAGCCAGGAGCCTTATACCCTGAACCCAGATTCTTCGGTAGGGTCTTCTGCAAGGGGTAAAGGCTCAAACCCTAAGCCTCTTACTTGCCCGAGTTGCAACTCCAAGGCCCGTGCGATCTCCGCACCGCCCGCGGACTTCGGAGGGCATGCAGCGACCGCGTTCTGACAGTGACCTTACTCTTTAATCGGGTTCAGGGAATAAGGTTCAGGGTTTTGGGGTCAGGGTTTCAGGTTCCGGGTTTCTGGTGCAGGGTTCAGGGTTTGGGGTTTTGAGATAGGTAGGAAATTGTGCACCACTTAAGATCCCCAAACTACCGTACTTCCTAAGTTTTCCTCCATCCACTGTACGGGCTATAGCCCCTATTTGAGATTTGAGGGTGCTTGGAGGGGGTGTGTTCGGAGTTACGTAAGACATCCTGCAGCAGCCATGATGTGACAGGTACCTTGCTCTAAATTTTCGCTCTCTTTCTACATGTCCCTTTGAAGGTTACAAAAAGTACCCTTAAGTTTCGAACCTTAAGCCCTGCTCTGAAAGAACTGGGCGGAGAGCTGTAAGTTTCAAGTTCAGGTGCCTCGGAGTTCAGGAGGTAAGGTTTTCAGAGCTGAAAGTTTAGCAGAGGTCTCCGTCTCGGGATTACGGGTTTCAGGGTTTTAAGGTTTGAGGGTTTGAGGGTTTGAGGGTATGGGCCTTGGTTGTTAAAGTCAGAAGACGACCCTCCACCAAACTAAGGTACAATGTAGTCCCGTTTCACCAAGACGCTGGTTTTAAAGGCCGTTTCTGTTGGGAGTGGCATGCTCGAGAAACCCTGGGCGCTGGAGGGATTTGTAACTGGGGGCCCCCCCAAAGTCCTTGCAAGTATCAGAAGGAGGACCCTCGTTATTTTGAGGCATAGAAGGGCAGTCCTTATTTATGCGGAATGGTCCGAGCATGATGAAGAAAGACAGGCGCTGATTCTTGACAATCCCAACTGGGCGGAAAGAGCAAAGTATAAGAGCGGAAGTCTGTTGTGAGCTATGGTACTGCTTATGACAGCTTTTAGTTTAATGGTTTGCATGGTTTAGGTTTCAAGGTGCGTTTAGTGGGATGAGAGCTTTGGCCTCTAGGATGTCATGAAGGTAACAGCCCAGTGGACTCTGCAACATGGAGCTTCTGAGAAGGAGATGCTATGAGAGTTTCTCAGGCGAGCATTGAGGACCCTGGCGATATGTAGGGATGGGTCTCCCTTCTAGTACTCTATACTACCACAAGGAAAATACAGTATGCTGAGCTTGCAAATCTTGATGCTTGCAGCTTGCCCTGGAACCATTATCTAAAGGACCTTTCGGCACACAAATTCGCGTTCAACGCTGTTTTGATACATTCTAGTTTGCTCGCTACTTAAATTTGAGCATTCATCGGTCTTCTATGCCGCGCCCGTAAACCCGAAATCCCCAAGCAAAGTCTCAACCCTACATTTTTGCACCTTCAAGAACCTCTAAACAAGCCAAAAACTCCACGAAGTGAAGCCCAGGCTTCTCGCGGCCCAAGACACCGCAGCCCTCTGAAAGCCCACGCCCGCGTACTCCCGTGGCGCCATACACCAGGCAGCCCCAAAATCAGGATTGTTTTAAGGGTTTTGAGATTTTCCCTCTCCCAAATTAACATGAAACCCCATATAGGGCCCTTTCAACAAGACAGTCATACGTTCGTCCCATAGGCTACTACGGGTTGAGGTTTGGTGCTTAAGGTGGACCGTTTCTGACTTGCATGATGGCATATTACTTCTTAATTGAAGTGATTACCTGGGCCCTGTAGGTCCTTCCTTCGTTGGGGTCTTACATGAGCTTGGACAAAACCCAGGTCATTAGGGTTTCTATTATAGACTTTGCACAATTTATCGACCCTGTGTTTGACAACGGGAAAACGATGAGAATGAAACGATGATCACGTAGAAGTGTACGTTATGAGTAAAAAATCTATAGCCGATGGTAGGGTTTAAGGTTTGATGCTTAGTGTCTAGGCTGGCTGATTCTCTGAGTCTCGACCTTTCTGGAGTCTCTCGGGTCGGGAGTGTTCGTGACTCCAAGATTCTGGGTTGGGGGGACGATTTTCAGGATCAGGTTTGCGATTAGGATTGCAGTCTACCGGAAAGGTCTGCGTTTAGGGTTTGTGGTCAAGGGCTTGTTGGTCTCTGGGGTAATTGGATGTGAGAGAGCTTTTGTGTGTATCCTGCCGAGAACAGCAAATGTAGTTTTGCCGAATTTCCTTCCGATCATCTCCTGACGTCCAGTCAGGTAACTGAAAGAATGCTAAACAACACCGTCAAAGAATTCAGGGAAGCAAGGACCGAAAGAATCTAATCCTGAGACCCAGAACATGGCAGGAACGTCAGTCCAACGCCCCATAGATCGCATTTTGTGACTGTCATGTCCCCTCTAGATCATACACCCCATACCCCCGCAAATGAGCCTGCATTCGGCTGTTCTGACATTCGAATCGGTCGGAACCCGGAAGCCTAAGCCCCTAGGAATTTCTAGTTTGAGCTAGACAGTTTGCAGGTAGATCAATAAACCTTCATGTGAAACACGGATTTTGTTTATAGTGGTCATGGTCTCTCCTGAATGGACACTACGTATACACTCATCAATGGTGCTATGCTTTGGTAGACTCGGACAACATGCAGGCTGCAAACGCTTGGTTTTATGGTGTCTATTCTTGGTGATGTACTCATTTCAACGGTTTCTTTCGGAAGGGTGATGTTGGAGATCATGCCGAAACTAATGCCTTTTTGCCGACAATTTTGTAGATGATCTTGGCGAGATAAGGGTGAAACTGCTAGCGTCCACGGACAAGAAGTCGTGTTGCCTCGAAAGCTTTGTCGGAGCTAGCCCAAGTTGCCGGGTACATGATAGGAAGCAGGTAGCTTCATAACATACAAAGCATCAACTAAAGCGCAGTGCATGAAGCACCAGCAGGCGCGTGAGCAAACAGGACCAGCCACGAATCATTTCTCAAAAGACCCCCTATCTAACAGGAGTATCCCTGTGTTCCTTTCACCATCCTTGTACACACCAATGGTGCCCAGAGTGCCCCATTTTCCGAACAACCCCAGCTCGGGGTCTTCGTTGAAGATGATGACCAATTTTCGTTATGCTGAAATGTAAATGTAATAGTCGTACAGAAAGATAGTCCCTCTACCCAGGAAAGGAACTCATACTTAACCCCAGGCCTGCTAGAAGCATAATCCCTCCGCAGTCCTTCACAGAGTGCCCTCTAGTCCTCTTATCACCCCTTCCGAATAACAACGAACCCTCCTAACTGGAAAGTGCAGGCCTGCCACCAGCATGAGCTCTAGATCCACCACGGCGTCGCCGGCAGTGTCCCCTCGCCCGCAGCGGGCTCAGGATCAGGGACCTGGTGGCTACAGTAACATGGAACCCAGTGATAATTGATGGGGTTTACGGTTTTTGCTTCCCTGCAAAGACTGACATGTAAATCTACCATATGGGTTCCTTATCAAGGGGAGACATCTTCAGAGGTTCCTGTTTGTGGTGCTATGTGTGTTTTGGGAAGTGTAAATACCCGAACTAGCGCCCGGGGTCTATCGCGTCATAATACTGTACTAGGAGGGGCTCGAACATAAATGTGGTAGCCCCTTAACTTTAAATCCTACACCGTACTGACCTGTAGAGCCAGTGATGGCTCTGCATGAGTCTCCAAGTATAAACCGCCCTGTGTCATAGGCAAACTCTCGAATCCCAACATATGCTTGGATTCCCCTAAATGGCCCCCCACCAGAAAACAATATTCCTTTGACAGGCCTGTGCTTGCCCAACACAAGCAGGTTCCCTAACCCTTTGCCATCCGACAGTCCCGTACTGAAAAGAATTCCTACATCCGAGGCCCTCACCTTCAACCCTAATGTATCCTCATATATCCCTATGGCCCGTTGCATGTTACCTCCCGAGGCTTTTGCAAGGATTCCTAAGATCTATCCCAACTACGCCCCCTCCCTAAAATTCTCCATCTCATGGCGATACCCCAGAACCCTGCACCCTAAACTGAAAGCCCTAAAACCTAAACCCTAAACCAAACCTTAGATCCTAAATAGTAGTTTCCATTTTACTTTCCATTATCCCAGTATAACCCAAATCTTAACCCAATGAGTATTTACTGGGGTCTGAGTTCCCGTCAAGTCGATAGAGTTTGGCTTTGGGTATATTACAATAAGATCCCCATATACCACATATTCTATCTACTTCAGGAGGACCCTACACCCTAAACCTTAAACCCTAAACCCCAAACCCTATACCCTGAATGATAGTTTCCATTTTGATTTCCGTTATTCTATCTACTTAAGGGGGACCCCAAACCCTAAACCCTAAGGACTTATAACGGTACCTTCCAGGCCCAGCCGCTCCGGGTCAAGGCGCTACGACTTGAAGCCGCCGGTGCCGCCCGCAAACGTCGCCTACCAGGCTAGCAGAGTAGTATTCTATTTGGGGATACTATGGTACCCATTATAGAGAGAGATTCTATCCTCTTTTGGGGGTATAGTATTTTATATAAGGAATATTATCTTACTAGGTCCAACCACCAAAAAACATTACTCAGCAGTTCCAGAGCACACAAATACTACCATTACTATTAGTATACTATACATACTATTATTACCACAGTTATCATTCTTATCATGATAAGAATAAGTATTACCACTATAGGTATTAGTCATCATTACTAATATTATTGCTACTGTTATTCTTATTTTTGTTATCATTACTCGTATTATGGTGGGATTGTGGTGGTGAGGTTTCCTCATCCCCGTCTCCCTCCTTTACTGTACTTTCTTGAACCGAATCTTGCTCCTCGTCTAGCATTCTAAGAATGTTTGTCTTTATTATTCGTTTGTGCATTCTGTGTTGCCGGTGAATATTTCAATGCCGCCTTGCATGATTGCACGAGGCACCCCCGCCTGGAAGGGTACACTGAGTGTAGAATCCATACGAAATCTATCCAGATTCAGTCTAACTTTTGGGGCCACTGCAAACCCAGAAGTGTCACGGTACATAGTATATACCTGGGGCCCTAACAGGCTCAATTCGAAATCCCAAGGATTAGACCCTACACCCTGAACACCAAGCCATGAGCATGGTCCAGAGCCCTGAAGGGAGATTCAAATGGAGACAAAAATGGACAAATAAATGGATGCTAGGGTTCTAGAGGAGGTTACTGAGGTATGTAGGGGGCTTACCAAGAATATCCAGTGCAGCAACTAAAAGGGTTTTGCACCTACTCTATTGGCACTTTGCGCTTTTCAAAGGGTCCAGGTTCCTCTACGTACGCCGCAAACACGACGCCCGCATCATGCATAGTACTTGCCATTTCTCCAGTCCGTTCATTACTTTAACTTCTCTCTGAGCCCTACATAGCCCAGCTGCCAGGCCAACAACACCCCGCAGCTTCGAAACGCCGCGTTGCTTGCACGAATCAACCAGATGCGCATGATCGAGGCTTGGTCAGGGGTTTATGAGGCTTATGGGGGCTATATGAAAACATTTTAAGGTTTTATGGGGAATCATAGTGTTTATGGGAACATGGCACCGTTTTTAGGGGTCATAGGGTTTTCTGTACTGGGACATTATAGGGATATAGGACCTAATGGTGGAGAATCAAACGGAAAGAACATGGAAAATGGAATGGAACCTACTACAGGATGTCGGGTTCAGGGTTTAGAAGCTGAAGGTTTGGGGTTTAACATTGAGGCTTTAGGAAGGGTTATACAGCAGCTGAAAGGGACGCATTTGGCCAAGTGCTTTGGATGTTTAGGGCTCGCCATGACGTACTTTGCTCGTCAGGATTCTTGTAGCAATCATAAGTTATATGCTCCCTTGCGGTAGCCTCGCCATGTTTCCCCAGTCTCAGTGTGTTCACGCAAGCTATTGGTCTACGTCAAGGCCTCTAGCTGAGAAACACGTTAGCAAGTGCCCTACTATCCTACGCGGTAAGTCCGGAAGTGCCCTCAGATGCTACCAGAAGTTGGAATCAGGATTCTGTGAGGGTGTTGTTGGAGTATGGATTCAGCTTGGGCTTAGGGTTGGAGATGTAAGGTGTCAGGATGCAGTTGGGGGGGGGGAACGGCACGCGCGGGTCCGCGCCTCTCCCTCCCTCCCCGTACACCAAATCATCAGCAAGATGGGGGCTCCATTTTGGGCTAGAAACGTGAAGGGCGAACAGCACCCCAAAACAAGCAATTCGGCTTCCGTTTGGCACGAGTTTCCAACAGTTGTGGTCACATTTGTCATTCTTCCTGCTGCATAATGTAGCTTAGACAGGTGTATTGTTGTAGCCGCAAGACCACGTGGAACCAGGCAAAGAATGCGCAGTTGAGAGTATTGAGTCTGCATAACATGCGCATACAGCTGCACATCTGTTCGCCTGCGCGTTATGCAATACCGGTGCTACCAATGCTGGCATTTGGAGTCACAAATACATACAAATACAGCTGACAGCGCTTTGCTGCAGTTTACAGAGCTGCTTTGGCCCCAACGGCCTTGTCTGGGCTCCTCCTTGCCTTCTTGATACGGCTCATATGAGAGTCCATCACTCCTCCAAAGCCTGAGGTATGTTGTTATGTCAAAAATTTGCAAACGAAGGACCGAGTGTGCTGATGAGACTGACTGGAAGTAATGGTGCAAAATTGAAAAAACCTTTCGTATCGTTTGGTTTGCTCCGGCTTCGGAGTTATCATGCAACTCACCCATGTACCACCTAAAACAGGCAACTCCCGCACTGCTAAACTGACTCCTAACTCCCAAACCATAAACCTGCACCTATACGCCCCTACGCAACTAGTACCAGCTTCCATTTCATTCTTCATCAATCCCCTTGGCCTAATGATTCATAATCTCCCCACCCCCTAGTAATAATGTTCTCCACCATGCATAATAGGATTACTTTGGCTGGGTTCATTATTAAGGGGGTGGGGGATCTCCATCATTAATACCCATAATCTTTGCATGGTCTGATCCCAGTTTCCGGTTCAGTTTCCAATTTCTTTTCTATTTGATGGTCAATTATTGGGACATAATACTCCTAATTGTCTGTGTATCATGGGTATTATGGCTTTGGAAGGTGCCGGCCACTGTGGAGACCATCTTGCAGGCGAGCGAGACGGAGGAAGGCTGGGTGTGTCCTCTTTTTTTGAGGGGGGGGCCCCTTCGGAAGACACAGCGCGGCGCCCCCTAAGAGTAGCCAGCCCCTGCCCCTAATCAATACTCCCAATGTAGTGGCATTACATAATGAGGGCAATATTTATTGGTAATTGATTAGGGATGGGATCACTGCTCAAAGCTTAGAATCCAAGAATCGATTCTGAACTCCCAAATTCTAACGACCTCAGCCGACCTCAATTTAAAGGATGCTTCTACTGCCCCAGATTGGCTTAATTTCAGGCTCCTTACAAGGCCCTCAGAGTTGGTATCGGAGAGTTGTCTTATCCCCGACTGGGGTTCGTGAGTGTATCATGTCATCCCAAGAGAAAGCTTAGAGCATACGGTAGTAAACCCGCATGACTTGCAAGGGAATTTTGGCAACCCCCAACCTCCAGATTTAGAACGCTATCATGGTAGTCATCTTAAAGTTTTTGGGTTCCCAAAATCTCCAAGAGGAGTTGTAAAGAGAATTACAAAAGCCCTACACTCAGTCTAAAACCGCATATATATATATAGAGATATATTCACATATGTATATGTGTATATGTGGTATATAGTATATACATATGTACACATATACAGATACATATATATATATATGTATCTGTATATGCATATGTATATATATATATGCATATATATATATGTCTAAACCCTACATTTTCAGCCACCCAACCTCAGCCCTCCAGGCCCCACCCCAAACAGGCACCGGAGAGCTGTCGTACCTCTGCGAAGTCTTCCACCAGCGCTTGGCCGAGCTCTTCAGCAAGGCGGAGCTACCGCAGCTGAGCTCCTTGGCTCTCCAAGGGGTTCATATTCCCGAATGGCATTGCAAAAGGGTTTCCGTTTTAAGTGTTGGGGTCCAGAGGCTCCACGACGTGACCAAAAACGTTGCATGCGTTTCCGCAAGCGTCCGTGAGGCGTGTAAACTGCGCGCAAAGCGTTTGTGAGTGTCGGGCAAAACTAACCCCCTCGCATACATGATAGTCCCAAACTGTGCTGAAATGTGATGCTGCAGTATTGGATGCAGTACTCATGGGGGTGGGGGGCGTGCAGGTACCTGAGCCGTCCTTGAACTCCTTTTTATCTGGCAAACTATACCGAGTCTCGATCCCCAATACGCGGCTCGGGTTAAGGGTTTGGGTTTAGGGTATCTTTGCTCGTGCTTGTTCCGTGCATACTCCCCCCTGCCAAGCGCGACTTCGATGGCGGGTATGTGCTTGAGGCATCTTAGAAGTACAACCACAACAAATCCCTCTAAGAGCCCCATAGGATGCCCACGTATCCCTGAAAGCCCAGGAAGTATGCTAATGTAGAGAAACTCTGCCATATCGTCTCTCACATCACATGCTATGCAGCTTTTGCATTGCAAGTAGCCCGAAGGCCACGCCGCTGATGTGATCTTCCTGCTGCAGGAGAAGGTTCGTGAAACTGTCTGGCAGGGTGGGTGACTCTGAAAGTTCTTGGGCTTACGTGTAGTGTTGGGGGGACTTAGCAAAGTTGTCCCATCTTTAGCCCATATACTGCCTCACCCTGACCTTCCAAGTATAGGGCTATGGGTTTTGGTGGTGGTCGCATTCGTACTAAAATCCAAATCCCAGGTTTTGTTGTGTTGCAGCATTCAAGTCAAGCCCAGCGGGGACCAACAAGGCCGTTGTCCTTTTAAAGAGGGGTGCAAGGAGACATATACACATATATAGGCATATGTATGGGTAGATACATGGACATATCGGGTGCGGGGTGCGGGGTTTCGGATGGTCCCCCAAAACTTTAAAACCGCTCTACGCAAGGAAATACCTGAAATCACATCCAGAACTTAAGAAGTACGATGTATTGTGTACTGTATACTCCCTGAACGAAGGGTTCTGCAAGCTCCGGGGAGGGCAACTCCCGTTCCTAAGGAAAGGAAGTTCATGGGTCTGTGAAAGCTTGTCGCACGGATAGTCGGACTTTTCGGATGCAACTAACATGGTACACCAAGCAAGGCCCTACAAAGGCTGTTGCCCTTTTGGAAGGGGGTCTTGATGAGATTCCACGTTGTTGGGGCGGGCATCTTTGATTTCTGCATTCTTGCTCTACATGGGACAATGTCCACGACTTCTGTTTACTGACAATACAGCCCTCGGCTATCTTCGGCTGCGACTGTGGGTGTCCTTTCCTCTATGAGGGTTCTGGCATGCCGTTCGCACGATGGACATTATTCGCTCAGTCAAACAGCACGAACACATCCCACCGAGCTCCCCATACCGATACCTAAAGCCCAAGTCCAAAACCACGAGGGCTTAGGGTTGGGTATTTCCGACAGCGCGATGGGACCTCCCGGTTGTTGGAAGTCCCCATTTCAAAGATGATCATCACAATAATCACTGCAGTAGACCCCACACCCTACACCCTGACCCCGAACCATTGATCCACAGTAACAGTAAAACCCGGACCATAAACCATCTTCGTTCACTTCATGGGAAAGGCGGACATCTTGCCTTCTCTGAAGCCAGCAGCGCAATTGCGGCTTGGTTCACCTTCGCCTTGAGCACCCTTAGTGATTCAAGAGTTCAGATGTTTAGGATTAAAGGCTTTGAGACTGCATAGGCTTAAGGGTTTCGGGTTCACTTTAGGGTCCATGGAGCCAATCTTCCCACCTCGTGACCCCCTGTAGTGTAATTCCTGGGTAACGCAAAGATGTTTAAGGTGGTGCAAGATCGACTTTATCCACAGTAGCACAACCCCCCAGCAGGGTTTCACCCCCAGTAAAAGTTGGGCACTTTGCTGGGGTGCCACGCCAGTTTTGGCGGTTGGGGGTTGGGGAGTGCATGCATCAAATTCCTGTCCTTCCGGCTGTTGCCCGTTGCATCTTCGTAGTACTTGATGAATTATGGTGGTGGCTTCGGAATAAGGATTAGTTATTGTCTCTATATGCTTATCCCAAATACTATATCCTTTGCCATGGTTCAGCCTGTGACTACTACCCTGCCTCACTCCTGAAGATGCGTTCCCCGGCAACATGTGCGGTCCAAGCACCCTACCCTTTGTCGAGAAAACACGCCATAATCCACGTCCATACATGGGTTGCTGAGGACTCTAAGCCTTCTACAGCTCCACACCCCCTCTGAAGGGACGTGAGCGCGCCCCATTTTGAGAAACCTAAATCCTAACTAGATGAACCTTATGCATCCCCACAATATGTAAGGGGTACCCGCCAGCAGTCCGGCATTTGAATGCCAAAGCCGGCTAGGAGTGACGTGCGATTTCCGGGTCATTGTTTCTTCCTTTTACTAAAGCCCAGCAAGAAATGAGGAATAACAAGTTAAAGGTTCAAGAGCACCCCAATAAGTGTGGTTCCTTCGGTTTTCGAAGCCGCCTAGGAACAATTCCGTTTTGAGAAACCCCTAAATCCAGTTTCCACTATGCCAAAAAGCCGGATCCTGAATCTTGATAAGCAGTACAGACATAGAGTGCCCCAATAAGGAACTAGATTTAGGTTCTAAACATCCGAAGTCCTTTACGTAGATGCATATCCCGAAAACCTAGGAAAGGGACGTAAGGGTGCTGCCATGTTGAGAAACTACCATTTATTCTCCAAAGCCGCCTAGGAACTCAGAAAATGCTTTTTGGTAGAATAGGAATTGATTGTGTATTCCCTCAAGGGGGATATAGTATGCAAAACACCTACGATCAGAATCTATTTCAAAAGCCGCCGCCTGGGACAGAGAATGCTGATAAGAAAATGATATAACTAGTTGCGCATTTTCCTTTAGTTTACCTCAAGCGAAAAAGATGTAAGCCGCGCCAGGAATGACATGCTTGAAGGCCGTCTCAATTCCTTCATCCATCACTCAACCCGCATCTGGGCCGCTTCTAGGTACTGTACTGTACGGGCCTAAATTATTAGGTCCCTCAAACGGAATTGTTTAACGGTTTTATATATTTGTATGAGGCCATATTGGCATCAGTTATTTGAGGATGATATGCGGTTTTTGGTGCCCAACATCTAGAAAACATGGAGAAGTGTACGGAACATCAAGTGGACGAGGATATGGAAGCTTGGTTGATATAGGGCTTGGTTCAGGAGTTATATGTAGAGGCCTCTTAGATGCGTATAGGGTCTGGGGTATGGCATGCTACAGTTGCTAAAGACATGCCTCTGCATTACCCTCACTCCTGAAAATTAGCATGGAATGCAAACAGGTCTTTGGAAAAAGGCACGCTTGTGAGCCCTGCACCGTTGCAGTTCCAGCACGTCGGAAGCTGCTTCAGAAGCTCTGGAGCTCAAAGTCTACAAATAATGGCCTACACTGGACCGTAGAGCCTATGTGAATCGTAGCTACTTTGGGCTATTGATTCGGACCCCTTTAAGAGGAGTCACCGTGTCAGATCCTGCGAAGAGCTCTGAGCCCGTTAGGTATGTTGGAAAGCCGCGTTGACAACTGCCTGCAGACCAACAAGGCCTCCGTGTGTGATACGAATACAGTCATACAGTAATATAGTAATGTAGGAATATGGTAACACGGCAATACAGTAGCATAGTAAAGATAATTAGTAACATGCCTATCTTACACGGTATAGTAACATAGTGATGTACGTCCCAGGGCCTGGTTTGTATGAAGTCAAACAGGCATCAGAATCAGAAGGGGGCCGCAGCAGCTGCGTAGTCATTGTTGGTACCAGAGGGAGCGACCCCGAGTAAGGCAATATACCATATACCGTACTCACCCCATAGCAACCCTACTACAATGGTTCATGAGTGGGTAACCCAATGTCTTAGTAATTCCAGGCTCGCGCAGACTAGCAGCCGAAACCTGGAGCCTGGGTGGGCTCTGATGGCCTTTCACACGAACGCAACCCATGTGTCATGATATTGGTGAAGCCCCTCAGTGTGGAAGGGAGCCCCAATCCCCACGTCCCAGATGCTAACCCTCAACCCTAAAGCCCGACCCTTAACCCTGAAGCAACTCAAGCCCTTGTCCAGAGCTTCTCGGAGAAAGCCTTTTTGATCCCGGGAGGTAGCGCAGGGCGGCATGAAGGGAGAGCTGGATCACTTTTTGAAGTGCTTCCAGCAGTCCCAGCTGCTAGCAAGGCCTCACCAACTACAGTTTAGGATGTAAGGTTTTGTGTTTGGGGTCTGGCGTTTAGGGTGTACGGTTGTGGGTTCAGGGGAGTTCAGAGTGTGTACAGTATGTGGCCACAATGTTAGGCAACAGCATGTGGAAATCGGAATAGCAGTCAGATATCTTCGAAGGTTGTGGGGTTTGAGCTTCATTCAGGGCCTGCCTTTGAAGGCGTACCAAGCGTGCCAGAAAAGTGAGGGCCCTGTCTAATTATGATTCCTTCCAAAAAAGGGTGCTTTTTGGATGCCGCATGTAAAGGCGCAAACAACAACCTTGCTCTGGGTCAGGGTTCAGGCGCAGGGTCAGAGTGACGAAAGGAGTGAGTGGAGACATGGTTACCGTTCAGTGCCCTGTATGAGTACATGGCGTGCTTGGCAAGGAATGAAGCTTATGTACTCCTCAAAAGGATCTATACCATCCAGTATCCCATCCGCTGTTTTGTTGCAAGAGTACAGGGTGCACACATTTTTTTGTACGCTTTTTTTGGGTGGTTTCGGGTTGATAGGGTTTGGGGTTTAAAAGGTTCAGGGCTCATAGGATCTGTTAGGGTTCCGGTCTAAAGTTCCACGCATGAAGTGGGCTTTCTAGCAAGACCAGCTGGTGCCAAAAAATCGTTAGGGAAAGGGCATATTTCCATGTTCCATCCGAGAAGACTGTTACTCATCAGCACCTACTTCAGAAGGTTCGGCAATGACCATGGATCTCAAAACTCCTCGAGAAGCGTATGCTCCCAACAAGCGAGGTGGTGCTGATAACATCATTCGTGCTAAGACACAGTGCCCTAGGTATGGCATCACGTCCCTGAAGAGTCAGAAAAAGTCCTTGGAGCACCTTCTGCGTATCGTGGACAGCACCTGGGCCGTGACCAGGGACTTTGTTACAGGCTTTCAAGTTTGATGCGGGTGTTGTGTTGGAGCTTTTGGGTCTAGGTTTTGTTGGCGTAGAAACCCTACATCCAACAGATGTACGGCAACAATCTACTACTCTGGAAGCATTTTTTTCTGTGGTATTGAGCTTTAGTTCCTAACTTTTGAAAGCACAGCAGCGGCTTAAGAACAAGGCAAAGTCATTGGCCCTTACGATTGGGCCAAAGCCCTACTTAGCAGTTATATGCTACTACATTACTTTATTACTAGTATATCAGTACATTGCTATATTAGCAGTCTGGTTCTCCATGGAGTCAATGTAGGGTTGACATGGAAGGTCATAATGTAGTTCCTCAAATCTATAATCGGGACCCTTTGTAAGCCCCAGACATCGCTAGGGTCCCTATCATGAGAAACTCCCGTAAATGGTTGAGGGCGTGGCTAAGCCTAACAACTCCAACACGTCTTCCTTGCCCAGGGACGGCAAACATGACTTTGTAAAAGGTCTGAAGTTTGTAGCGTGCTCTCTTGAGGAGTTCTGCGGAAGAAGTAGGGTAGTAGCTTGACGCCTGAGCCGAGGGCTACAATACGCCTAAGTCCTATACATCCAAACCTTAAGTCCTAAATCCCAAATCTTCTCTCCCCAAATCCTGAACCCTACATTGGAAAATCGTAAGCCCTCAACCCTAAACCGGTGCTTGGACTCTCTTCAGAGCTTTCCCATGTACCAAGGCGATACAAAGCCCCTTAGGAAGATGTAGGTTTTCGGGCTTCAGGTCTACTTTACGGCGCCCTGGGGTAAAGAGAGTTAAGTGCATCTACCGAAAGATGGTTTTGATCGAGTTATTCAAGCAACCTTTTTTCGTGCATTACCTGACTCTAGGGTCCCTCTCTGTATTCCAGATGTTGAACCCTCAAACTTCCCTTGCATACCGGTGGTACTCAGAATTGGGGTCCCTCAATGCGTGCCCTCAGGTAAAGCGACCCCAGAAGGAGCTCCCTTCACAGACTCTGACTCAACATGTAACCCAAACATAGTCCCAATCAAAACCCATGTATACCCCAACCCCGAACTTGTCCCTGCTCCAGCCATTGTCAGGTGCTCCGTTGGTGGATCTCCAGCAGCGTGCAGATGACCTGTGTAGCATCGAGGACTCTTTCTCAGGAGGTTCAAGAGCACTCTAAGAGCAGGCAAGTCACGATGCGCGTGCGATCCATGCGAGAGCTCGATTTATGCGAAATTGCCAGGATGCTCCCAGGAGCACGAAATAGAGCCAAAATGCAAAGACGCTCGGTGCCAGCATATGTGAGCGCGACTTGCAGCCATCGAGCACCAAAGACACGAGAGTTCTACACTTTGCGAAGAGCACTGACACTGGGTCGAGAGCGCGATGGCATGATTGCCAGCCAACTTGCAACGACACATTAGACCATGTTAGACCTGCAAACCTCAATAACATTCCCACAGTGTTGACACAACGTTGGGGGAATGGACCCTCAACCCTGAACTCCAAAGCTACCAAAACTTCGGAGGAGCGCGCCATCGAGGACGCGCTCCTTTCGCGTCTACGCCGGGTGACTTTCCGCGGATGTCGCTCTTCCCTCCTTCATTGTGATTTAGGTCTTGACGCTTTCGGGGGTAGTTCAGGATGGACGAGAAAACATTCCAGGATTTTGGACACCCAACTTATCATTGTATTGTAGTTTCTGCTATCCCCGAAGCTCAAAGCGCCCTTGCCATGGCTAATTGTGGCGATGCAGGTTCTCAAGCTTAAGGCTCCCTGGAGGAACCTCATGCTCACCTGGGTGTTGAGGGACTAGGCATCCCAGTTTCCATTTTCCCTGTCTTGTTCATTTGATCTTCCATTATGGCTACACTGAGCCCCATATTCTTTATGTCTATATGCTATAGCACTGGGCCCTATATCCCTGCCACAAGAGAACTGGGATCTTCTGTCCGCGCTTTGTCAAGTAATGTAGTCACATGTGCGGCTTGAACTAACTCGGAAAGCTTTCTGACCTTATGTTTTTTATGATCGGACTCCAATCGACGCTGATTACCGGCGGTGGGAACAGTCTTTCTGACTTCTTGTTGCGTTTCATGAGAAAGCGACGGAGCTTTTGGATCCGGTTCGGCTGGTTCCCAGCCTTTGTAGAATCCCAATTTCCGTTTTTCCATGCTCTGCTCACCTGATTCTCAACTGAGGCTATCCTGAGCCCTATATAGTTTATGTCTTCATATCCTTATTCTCTCTCTATATCATCCGCGCAATTATGCCCCAAATATTCCCTTTATACGCTAGATAGTATCTCTAGCCCTTTCCGTTGAGGTTGGGGCTTTGGGCTCACCTTTGGCAGTTTTCTGACGCGTCACGACCTTGCAAGAATTGCACAAGGATGGCACATAGCTCAGTGCAGTGAGTGTTTACACTTGGTAAGAGATTTTTCGCGTGTTTTGCAGTATGGTCGGTGCAGAGTCCGGGTTGCGGCACAGGTCTCAGTAACAGACCCAAGCCTCAAAAGCTTCAGCAAAATTTAACGGCGAGGGCGATCTCCGCAGTCAGAAGCCGCGTCCTACAGGCTAAGACCTGTTGCTACGGAAAATGCAACTCCAAAGCCTGCTTGGCCTATTGTTTTGAACCAAAGCCCTGCACGTTACGACCCCAAATCCTAAACCCTTCGACTATAAACCACATCATGTTTTCTGGAGCCATCCTTGGGGTCTTCATCCACCTTTCCCCCGGAAATCCCTACATAAACTCAGCTTCCGCTTGATAATCCATTTGTTTCTTGGCTTGATATTCCACCATCACATATGTAGCCCAATTTCACACTTATTTTATCCCTATATACACCCATCTCTCCCTTGAATGGGACCATAAGCCCTCGTTGGGGATGATATCCGCATGCCCTATGCTTGGGGTCCTAGAGTGATTTCCTCCCCCCTCTTTGCGTCACACGGCGTGGTCTGTACGGCCCAACACCATCATAGTGTGTTATTGTGATTCTTATCGCCACTCGGATTGTTGTGATACATTTGTCATTAATTGTTGGTGTTTCGCGCAGGGTTCAGGGTGCAATGTTTAGGGTTGAGGGTCCTAGGTTTCCCGTTTTTGCTGCTTTAGGGAATATAGGCGCTAAGACCGGAACAGTCAGACTGAACTGGGGGCAGCACGCCGTTGAAAGGTAATTTCGTGGATTGCCGGGCATTGGCAACGGCCATGGTGGAATTGCAGCTGTGAAGATGAAGACTTTCCAAACATCCAGAAAACAGGAGAGGTTTTCGGGTTTGGGAATTGAGCTTAAGTGAATGATTAGTATCAGGGCTTCAAGACTTAGGGTTGAGGTGTTTATGCAGTGTGTCCCGCGTAGGTGGGGTCCTAGCACCTTTAACTAATTATTAAGGGTAGGCAATCAGGTCATCCCGCAGCTTAGTAGTTTGGGGGGTCCGGAAAGGTTTGGGGTTGAGGCTTTACGTCTTGACGGGGGATCGCTAGTCCCTAATAGCCAAAGGCTGACCTTCAAAAATCCAAGGAAAGTGTACTGGCCAGGGTTAGATTGGCAATCTTGATTGGACGTTAACGTTTTGTATCTGTTTTTTTTTGACAGGTTCATTTCGACGTCTACGAACAGTCGTTGTCGTTGGTAGTGCCTTCACCACTAGCGCGGACTGCCCCAAGTTTACATCAGGCAACCTCCTGCGAATGCGAGAGTCTCCCGAGCTCCACTACGCTTCTCGAGCCATTCTAACTGCTGTTGCAAAGGCATCGCAAGCTCCACATCTCGCTTTTTGACCGAGTTGTAGCCGCCCGGCATGAAGAGCATTGTAGCAAGATCATAAGGCCACCAGGATGCACCTACTTTAAGTGGCGCTTGGGCTGTGGGAGGCTAAAATATGGAGAATCAAGTGGAAAAGACAATTAAACATGAAAGGGATTATAGAGTATCATGGTTCTGGATTTCATGTATAATCATGGTATTGCGTACTTCAAATAGACAGCAACATGATGTTGGTAATAATTCAGGCTTGCAGGATTCTGCCAATATGCTTGTGGCCTTTACGGATGCTGAAGATAGCGGGAAACAGCGATCATGGTCCTACGCAAGCATTTCAGCCTTGTTAGTCAGATGATCGCACCAATAGTGCTGTGAGAGGGTTGTAACATGATATGTACATACATACACGCATGCGTACATATTCATATTAGATATATGCTATCCCCTTCAGAACTCACCGTGGAACCAAATTTCATCCAATTTGGAGGGATTTGGACAACCAAGACAGCTCTTTTTCCTAGCAAGGAGAGCCGTTTTGATGGCGCGCTATTGGAAAATTATCTTTTTCACAGGAAAAGATGGCGTCCCCTTAAACAACGGCCAGGGGCACCCCAAAACAACCATTTTTTTGGCAATCTGTGGCGGCTTTTGTTGAAAAATCAGCTTCTTGAAAAGCATGTGTTCCCAGGACAGAGATGTTGTTTTCAATGGCATGCCTTCAAGAACTGTGGCTTCGTGCGATTCTTGTTCGTAGTGATGTTCTTCCAACGCCGTCTTCCTCACGAAAAAGTGTTTCAATCCATCATCCTTTCCTAGGGAAAGCAAAAAATCTGCTTTGAAGCGCCTTCATGGTTACTTACACATTTTTTTGCGTTGCCCCAAGCAAAGATGTTTTTCAAACCACCAGTTTCAGAGGAAAACGATGATTTTTCTGTGGCACTCCTTAGCAAAGACACCTTTTAGATTTTGGCTGGGAAAAGGGTGGCTTTCCAAGAGGACCGCCTCAAAAACCGATCAGGTTCGTAGGAAGCCAGTGGTTTTGCTAAGGTGTTTTAGGTTTCATTGTGTGTGTTTGAACAATATTTAGACAGGTGTTTTTTTTCTGAGATTTTAACCTACAGGAAATCCAGTTACAATTGGAGACCTTTTTTCCTTAACTGTCTCCATTGATTTTCATAGATGGTTCTCAAAAACTAGTTTCTGCAAGTCAACCTTTGTAAAGACACCGTCTAATTAAGATTTAACATCTCGTTTGTGTTTCAGGTTTTGTTAGATGTCCAAGATTCTTCAGGTTCTTAGTTTCTTGTGAGGCTTTTAACAAAGCAATGATCCCCAAACAGGAAATCTAGCTCGAATTCGGAATGCCCTTCATTTTCTAGATGATTACAGGTTGTCCACCGTTGTATTACAGGAACCTATACATCATAATGACACCGATGATTTGATAGGTTATCATTGCCTGTATATAGTTGGTAGACATGAGTATACCTCAGATGATGCAAATCAAGCCCACTTAAACCCTCGAGACGAATCATTGAAGATTTGAGCAAAAAAGTCTGAGAGTCTTCAACCTCCAATCTTCAGTGTAGGGAAGCTGGCTTAAATCCGTTAAATCCATTTAAATCCTCAAGATGAATCATTGAATCTCTGAACAAAAAAGCTTCCTACACATCTTCAACTTTCAACTTTCAGTGTAGGGAAATTTAGCTTAAACCCGTTAAATCCACTTAGATTTTCAAGACGAATCATCGACGATTTGAAGAAAACATTGCTGAGAATTGGGCTTTCCAATGAGCAAGCGCAGTCTTTGGCCTTGGACAAAAATGCTTTGTGGAATTCTGGAGTTCAGGAACTTAATATATCTTCATAACAATCGCCGTTGACGGAGGAAACCCTGCACCGCTAGAGCAGCTAAATTATTGTGGTTCTCAGAATATGGTGTACTTCAGGTAATGCACGAGTCTTCCATCAACAGTAGTGTGACTTTATTGTAGCTCTTTATCAGTAGGTCCCCTCATCCTTAATCCCTTAGTCATGCCGGGGTCTTACAAAGTAAGTCCCTATGAGTATCCGGAACTCATTTACCACCTCCTCAGCTAAAATCCTTGCTACCCAAAACCAGTATCAAAATCCCAGTTGCCAAACCGCCAAGAACTTGGATCCCTTGGACAACGGTAAACTTGCCACGCTTCACTTGGATCTGGACACTCATCGGACCCCTCAACAAGAGATCTTTAGCTTCTACTTCACTGCTATATCCCGGTTGCTGTCTTTAGTATGCAGCGACATAGCGAAAGTGCAGAACCAATGCAATGGTGCAGAAACGATTGTCAGCAACATGAAGCAGTAAATCAACGCTTTTGCTGCATTCCCAGGAAAAGTCGATGTGCGATGAGATACCTGCGCTCGTGAAGGCCTGTGTCAGTTGCAGCGCGTGTCGAGGATGCGAATGGGTGGTGGAGAGTTTCCAGGAAGTAAGGAGTGGTGCAGTTGGGGTCGCAGTTTGAGAGCTTACCTTCTCGGCCCGTGGCAGCAGTTTGAGATGATGTTGAATTTTCCTTATGGTTTCATGATGCGAGTTTTTTATACTCAGGATTTTAAACTACAGCCCGGTTCCAGATTCACGGCTGCTGGGTGCGCACGGTCAGAATGGAGAAGACCTATTCCCACCTTTGCCAGAATACCCACCCCCACATGTAGCTCATGATCTTATCCTAGATAGGGTTTTGAAGGTGCTCCAGAAAAACAGAGTATCCAGATTCTTGTGTAGATGGTTTGCTTCGTCAGGTAAGGCCAGTTTAGTACGATCCGAAGCCCGAAGACCCGAACCCTAGACCCTGTAGATTCTTGGTTGAGCACCTTTTAGGAGTAATCTAGTAGCGATGCAGCGGGATTCCGAAATTAGATTTGTCCAAGATTACGTGTTTCTTCCAGGGGTTCCTGACGCCATGACGGCGTCATTTTGCAGGCCATGTAGGGGGACCCTGATGCGGAGAATCGTTTGCACCTTGAAGCATCCAAGAGCAAAAGCAAGGATCCCAAAACCAAACTCAGGCATCAGCTTCGTAGAGAAATGGATCCTTATGGAAATCCCTGTAATCCCTTAAAAGGTTGTTGTTATAGGCTAAGAAATCATTCAATTTCTGCTAATCAATGAGCTCACAGGCGTTAGGGCTTAGCAGACATGGCACGGGATGACAGGAGCTCAGTACAAAGCGCAGTTGTAGACATGATAAAACCCGGGTAATGGAGAATCAAATGGAGAAGAACATGGACATAAAATGGAAACTCGGGATATGGGGGTTGTAGGTACCCATTGGGGTGTAGTCACCATAAAACCCCTTACGGTTAGCCATCATAGTTGTCATACTCGGTGGAATCCGACAGGCCTGCCATTAATTTCATTGTAGCCTACCTAAACCTAATGTCCTATACATGCAGGACAGACACCGCATGTTGTCCGCAATCCCCGAAGCATACAGCACTAAATCCTGAGAGAATCCAAGCAATACGCTCCTTCATGCACAGACCTTGACCCCTCAAACCTAAACCTTTAATCCCATCCCCCAAACCTCGAAAGTATACCCATGACCTTGCGGTTAAATGCAATTCTTGCGGGTATTTGGGAGGTCTAGGTGGTAGGTAGCTTCCCCAAAATAGAGAATCCCAATGTAGACCACAAAATACTATAACCCTTATTATGGGAACCCCCAAAAAGGTACCTCTAATTTTGGGAAACCCCCAAGGTATCCTTGGACAATTTTTCGTTGAATCCGGGAGGCCTGGCCATTGGAGAGACTGCAGCAGGAGTGCGAGAGCGAGGCGTGCACTTCGGGTAGGTCCCAAAGGGCCCAAGCATGGATAGGGATTTATTTGCAGGGATTAAATATAGTGAGTATAGGGAATTCAGGGTTTAGGCACATTATAGGGATATAGGTCGCAAGAATTGAAGGTGAGACGGAAAAGAAACTGGAACAAGACATCGAGGTGTGGGCATGATGTGGGCAGGGATGGGGGTGTCTTCGGATCTCAACACGGGAGGGGTGTGGTAAGCGTCTTTAAGTTTTGAGTTGGCAAGGGTCAATTCAGGTCCATTAAGGTTGATGTTGGATTAGGGTTGCGGTTGATCGTTTGTGTTGCCGCTGTAAGGAACTTCAGAACTAAGCTGCCGCTATCTGGAAATCATATAACATACTGCATAGCTTTGTTGTGTTAGACTGGTTGAAGGTCCTTCACAGCAACCTAGCTGCAAGCTAAGCCAAAACCTCCAAGCCACCAAAGCCCTGACATGCTACAATGCCAAGAAACCCATGATTCTGGTCTGGTTAATAGGAGTCCATTTATCTATGGAAACCCTAGAACCTTCACCCTCAGACCTAAAACCCTCAAACCGTAACCCTTAACACAAAACCTGCAAACCCTGACACTCTAAGCCAGTCTGGGAGCTTCAGAATCCTCATAGGTACCTCCAAAGCCGGCGCACAAAAGCTTGTGTAACCCCATCATTCCCAAGGGTAGCTTCAGTTGACAAGAAATCCCTTAGCCCTAGTGACCCAGTGCCTGGACCCTGCGTATCTCTTTCACTAGTTTCAACTGCTCTGAGGGTACTATAGGGGCCTAGAAACTTACCAATATTATGGTTCTGCATTCCTTGTATACTTATACACTAGTGTACTTCACATAAACCTCGACATAGGCAATTTAGGATCGTCCCTATAACCCTTCATCTTCCAATTTTATTGTCCATTTGATTCTCCATGATTGCCCTGTTTGGACTTATCTGCGAAAAGCACACCCAGGGGGGCTTGTTCACCATGGCTAGCTCCTGCAGCCGCATCTGGGAGGTGCGGTGGGCTTGCTTAGGCTTGTGCAGGTGTCATAGCATGCAGGTTTCAAACTGTAGGCTTCTTGAGTTCGGGTTCAGGCTTTGGGGGTTGGGCTCTTGCTAGTAGGGTTTGGGGTGTAGGGTCTAGGAGCTCGCGTTGATGTCTTGACTTGTTGAAGGTATTGACAGTAGATGATTTCCATTCATTGATACCAACCCGTGTGCTGCAGCCCTACTTGGCGGTTCGAGGAATCATAACACAATTTTAACTGTACCTGTTATCTGGCTCTCCGTTTTGTGCCTTACCTAATGCTGTTTAATATGCAGCATCACAGGCTCAGGAATCTACGCGTCGCAGGTCTTGCGTCTTGCTTTAGTCGCTGTTGATTGCTGCCCAGCAACTGCAGCCTCCTAGTTTTCATTAGCACGTTTTTGGGCAGGGTTTGGGCTTGGGGGGTATGTATAGCTTCAAGAGACATTTGGAGGCTTGCGAGGTATAGGGTCTCCATTATGGAGACCGACATACCAGACTCATTATGAATCAGACTCCCATTGGAAAGGGACCCCTTGTCTTGCTGAATGCTTCTCCATGAGCTTGTTTCGCCCATGCAACAGTTAGCCTAAGATCTAGATCCCTGTGCTTTAGTCCCAAAACCTAAGCCCGAACACCGAAACCCTAAAAAGCCTACGTCACCCAAAAGCTCATAGCCCTTTGAGACGAACAGCATGGGGATGTGGGCGCTTGCCGTACGTATGCTTGACCGCCGACTGCTACTCCTTCTATTTCATTCGGAAAGAAGGTCAGCGCCTTCCCTCAAGAACATTAAACTTCCTTAGGGTAGCCCAAGTGTATCTCGAGATGCATTCCGCATGAAGAGGTGGGGAGTGTTTTAGGGGAGGGAATTCCTCAGGCACCTGAGGCTTTAGGATTTTTGCCCAGAAAGGTGCCCTACGACGACTATTCTGCTAGGAAAAGTGAGCCCATGCCATATTTAATACGCATCTCTTTTTCAACTCGGGTGGCATTAGCGTAGTTTGTCGGGATCACCAGCCTGGTTGCTGCGCACTGGATCTAGAGAATGGCTTGCGAAGCTAGGCTGCTGTGATTTGGACTCGGAGTGATCTTGTTTTCAAAGGCCTCAGTGCTAAGCGGTTGATGAGCGTAACTGGGCCGCCTTTTTCCTTGAAGCTGCACCCCGCCCCAACATCATGAACATCAGCTGGGCCTCCTTTTTTCCACGTGCCACACGAGCATTATGAGCATCAGCTGGGCCTCCTTTTTTTGCACCAGTCGCGCCTTCGCCCAGCATCTTTTCAACACCCACGCCCAGCATCATGAGCATCAGCTGGTTTTAGTCACACTTGACGCCAAGCAACATGAGCATCAGCTGGGTCTCTTTTTTCCCACACGGCGCACCCACGCCCAGCATCATGAGCATCAGCTGGGCCTCCTTTTTCCCACACGGCGCACCCACGCCCAGCATCATGAGCATCAGCTGCGCCCGTTTTCCCACAAGTCGCACCCACACCCAGCATCATGAGCATCAGCTGGGCTTCCTTTTTTCCACACGCCGCACCCACGCCCAGCATCATGAGCATCAGCTGTTTTTTTTCTCCCGCAAGCTGCAGCCATGCCCATCTTTGTAAGCAGCATTTTCTTCACAAGCGGCACCTACGTACGCCCAGCAGTGCCTGACCTTTTGTTTTCTGCGTTCGCGGCACAGAGCTCGGAGTGCATTTTAGCATGAGTTGACCTGTTGTCCCAAAGGCCACGTGGCCAGCATCTTGAAGCTTAACTGGGCCTCTTATTTCCTGAAAGGTGCACAAACGCCAAGCATTATGAGCATCAGCTGGTTGCTCACCTCAGGTGGCTCCAGAACCACGTGAAGTCACATTCATGGTCATCAGTGTGCTTCTTGAATGTTTCCAGAAGCTAGGAGGGCAAAATGCACACAATTCTAAGTGGCAATCTGTGGTTTTTGCGATCTGCATAATTTCTGCAAAGGTGAAGAAACTATCAGAGGACCCTTACACAACAAAGCTGAAGCTTGCTCAAAATTGAAATCACACATGCAGATGCGTGATTCGTTATGGTGCAGGGTCCTCATGATTCCCTCATGAGTTTTCCAGAGAATGCTATGTACCTTGACCACACAGCAATCTCCTGGCTTCTGAAGAGCATTGAAGAGCATTGCTCCTTCATGGGGAGTAGCAGGTATCCCGCCACTCAAATTGAGCTATGTCCATCCTTTTCCTACGCGTTGCAGTCCAAACAAGGACAACAGCTCACAAGAACCAGGTCAAGCTACAAAATCAAATGCCAATTCTCCCCACACAAGTTTGAAAAACATGCGACCCCAAGCCTTGAAGCCTAAAGCCCCTCAATCCAGCTAGCCCCCATAGATAAATCCATATATATATATATCCTTATGATTCCTTAGGCTTATACGGATACACATATACCCGTGCATAAGCCTCATATACCCTGCATCTCTTCATCAACCTGATGCAATCCCTATCTACCCCCTTGATAGTGACTTGCTCTGATAGGCCGTCAACTCCGAGGTTGGTCAGAGGCCTTGTCCTCCCATCCGAAAAGGGCTTAACATGAGGTTTAGGGGTGTAGGGGCTTAGGGTTTAGCGTTCAGAGGGTTATATTAGGGTTATATAGGGATACTGGAAAAGAACATGGAAACTACTATTTAGGGTTTAGGGTTTTGGGTTTTGGGGTTTAGGGTTTAGGGGCTGTAGGGTTCAGAGTCTACTATAGGTAGGGTTTAGAGTCTATTATGGGGTAAAGAGTCTACGATAAGTTTCAGAGTTTAGTTTAAGGTTCAGAGTTGATTGTAGGGGTTATGGTTTGACTTAGGGTATGCAGGGGCTCTACAGGGATTATTTACGGAGTATATCGGGGTATTTAGGGATATAGGGCCCAATACTGAAGAATCAGAAAACAAACAGGAACATGACATGGAAGCTACTACATTTTTGGGGTTCAGGCTTTTAGGTGTTACGGGCTTAGAGGTTAAGGGCCGAAAAGGTTCTAGTAATAGGCACGGATCCTTATAGAAATCCCTATTTTATCTTCGGTATAACAAGCCAAATACCCCTTTTCTTTCAGGCCCTGCTGCCCACCAGTAAGCTTCTCTACGCTGCGTCACGATTATTGACGTTAAGTTAAAGAAGACATGGAACTTTGATTATATAGTTGGATGCGGGGGCATGACCATCTTTGGGGTTCGGGTTCGCCTGAAAACCCCATGAAGGCAT